CTCTCTCTCACAGTCACCAACCCTTTTTCCTATGTAGCGTCTTGCCTTCAAACTGCCACTCTCTGTCACTGCCAAAATAACTCCTGGGCATTTGTAGCTTTTTTGACATAAATCCTCTTCTCCTTCTCTCCATCACTTTTTCTTGCCCTCACTGACAGATACAGGGCTTAGAGGTGGGCTTTGTGTTTTCTTAGTGTTAGAGTAATTTGCTTAGTGTTAGACTAATTTGCCGAGGCTCAAATTCAACCCAGTGGTCCTTACTGTTGTTATTCCCATGCATCCTTCCAGGCAACACCCCTCCTTGGGGCTTCAAACACTTGCAGACATTTATCCCTCTTTAGCTGTCATTAGGCCAAGTCATGCATATTCACATCTTTTAATCTTTTTTTTTTCTCACATCAGTTCCTTCAGTCTTTTAATCATTTGTGTTGCTCTTCTCTAAATTACCTCAAATTTGTCTACGCATCTCTGGTTCTCAGACACCATGAAGATGCTGTTTAGATAAATCTGCCTCTGAGGACTCAAGTTCATAAAAAGCTTGTTAATGGTGGAGACATTTTGTATGGCTGCTGGACACCGTGATTTTAAAGGTTTGGAAAAAGGGCACATGATTATATCCTTGCAGAGTGCAGTGAAAGGTGGCTGTCATTCATCTGAGCCTCTTCTCCTTTGTTCATCACTGCAGTATCTGCCTCTCTTCTAGCACTTCTCTGGGCAGCCTGTTGAAATGTTTTCCCTCTCCTCATGTTTTGTCCCTCAGGGTGAAGGGGAAGCTTCATGTAAAGGGGATTTGTTTTCCCAGGCTTTCTGTAATTAATAAACATAGTAATGTGTTTTTTATTTCAGTGAAAACATACAACTTTGGACTTGGAAGAGAAAGTGGGAATATTTCCAGTGAGCTTTGGTATGTCTATGGTTTGGACAGGCAGCAAACTGCTACACATCCAGCCACTTCCCATCTTTCCCATCTCATGTGGACACTGGGCATGACTGCAGCTCTGAGCAGCTTTGGCAGTCATCAGTACCCGTGGACAGTGTGGCTCATTATCCACGGAGTCCTCCCAACAGCCCTCATGGGAAGCATCACTTCCCTCCAGCTTATAGGGTAAGAAATGGGGGCAAAAAGGTGAAACAGCTTGCCCAAGGCCATGCAGGCCTTGAGCTGGGGGATGTGCTCAAGTGAAGACTGTGTGGGGCCTGGCAGAAATCTTTCCTCGTTCAGGCAGCTCAGACCGTGCTGGTTTCAGACAGCAAAGCCTCCATTATGCAATATATTTTTTGCATGAGTTCGCTGGAGTTGTAATAAGCTTATCAAGGGGATAACTGTTAAGATAAACCCTACAATCTCGTCCATCAGTCAGGAAGAGAAATAAATAGGAAAAAAAGAGTAGATTCAGCTTCCCCAGATGTATCAGTCAGATGCAGGCTCTGCACTCAGTGACAGCAATCAGGACTCCTGCAACCAGTGCTCTGTGTCCACTGGCACAGGAAATTACCTACTAGTCCTGACCTCACCTCACAGGCTGCTTTTTCTGGCCAGACAAGTTTTAAAGTGCAGCACTAAACCAGCTTCATAAACGTTACCATATGAGCTGGGGCACTGCTTCAACACACTAGGGGGATACAATTATTTACCAAATCTTGGTTTAACATGAACTACCTCTTTGTCTTATGCAGATGATCAGCAACCCTTAAAGCACTGCTGTTCTCTCTTTGTAACAAGGCTCAGATGCTGTCTTTTGTAATGTCACAGAGCACTTTTATGAGCACTGTTCATATGAGCACAATGTGCACAATTAAACATCAGCCAGAGCACAGCTTTTCAACTTGCCTTCCAAGAAAATCCTGCTTCCTTCCCTGTCACTGCCCTCCAGCCTGGTGGGAAAGAATTAACAAAAGCAGAAACAGTCAGACATCTGAAGAAAAGCTTTTAGAATGGCAGAGAAGAGCAGGTAGACAGCAAACAACGCCCTTCCAGGAGAACAGGAGGCTCCGTTGAAAATCTCCTTCCCAGAGGCTTTCAGCAGGGGATTTGGCAGGAGGGGAGGCAGTGATGGATAAGTTGTTGTAAGAGCACGGCATGAGGCTGCGGTGGGGGAACACAAGTGGTGAGATTTACTGTCCCCAGGCACTGCAGAGTGACACAAAGCCATTACAGCACAAGGAGTTCTGGAGGGCTGCAGCTGCCCCGGGGGCAGAGGGTGCAGATTCAGAGTGAAGCTCCTCTGCGGGGTTGTCTCTGCTGAGAGAGCCCCTGCCAGGCTTGCCAGGGAAGATGGACATGCAGGTGAGATGAAGAGCACAGCCCTTTCCCTGTTTGTGCCAGACCTCCACCTTTGGGAGAATCACCAATGCAGGACTTGGAAAAAGCTGCCAAAGAGGCATTTTAGTTACCTGCCATTGGAGCTATTGAAAATAAAAATGTGACAATAGAGCCTGAACTGTCAAGGTAAAGAGAGATGGGGGGACTATAAAGAAAGAGGCTCTGGAAATCCATGCCCTGAATGATTTAACCGCCAGCACTACTTCTGGGACAGAGAAATAAAACCAGACCGGGTCACCTGAGGAGTGCAGTACAGCTGGAGTCACGTCTTGGGACTGCTGCAATTCATGGCATCCATCAACCCTCCCAAGACACCCCAACAATCCTGGTGTCCTCCACCCCAAAGTGTCCAAAGGCAGCTCATAGAATCTATCTCCAAACTGTGAATAAAATAAAAATATCCATGCACAACTCCTGCAGGAAGGCTCAACATTGCCATGGTTGCCCAGTTCTCCAAAGCTCTGAGCAGCCTGTGCATCTTGGGCAGCTCTTGGCACGGTGGGCCGTGCTGCACACCATGCACAAATTTTTATTCATCATCATCTTCATTAGAAATAAGATTATTCAGGTCTATCTTCCCTCCTATTCACCATGGAAGCTATTTGTTCCCAGGCTCTAAAAATGCAGAAGTCATTATTGCAAAGATGGTACTTTTCATGGTAAGCGTGAACTCCTGCTTTTAAAAAATAAGTACCTATTTAACTAAGAGCTTTATAATAGATCAAGCAGTGCACAGAGTACTAAGAAAAGTGAGAGCTACTATTTAAATAAACTAGCTTAGTGGTAGGATTGAGCAGGAAAATAGTTTCTTCTTGGTATCTTTAACAGAAATTTATTCAAAACTCTTATCTCTGGATAAATACAAATTAAAAATTAAAAGCTCCTGTAAAGTAATGCATGAAACCAAAGCACCACAGAGAAATTTGGAGAAGCAAATAAAACTGCCATCATAAACTACAAAAGCACTGCAGAACCAGTACAGAGTGGAAGGAAACTTGGGAATAAAAAAAGCCCAGAAAAGCAACTGCAACACGAAAGGAAGAGAGGAGGGGATGGCGGTGGTGGCAGCAAGAAAAACCTCCACTTAAAAAAACAAATTCCCAATATTGCCTCAGCAGGATGCAGAAGGAAATATTTAAAACCACAGTTTTGAGAACATAGCCCAGACTGTCTGCTGAGTGACACCTTCTGTTGGCACCAGGCAAACAGGCTCCTGCTGCCGGGTTCCTGAACTCCAGCCCCTGGGAATAGTCCCTGAGGCCGTGTTCAGTTCAGAGTGGCACAGAGCCATCAAACTTCAAGCACTCAGGGAAACACTCTGTAAAACTCTGTTTTTCAAGGCCATCGAGAGACAAAAAGGTGTGCATTTCAGTAAATCCATGATACTGTGTAAATGTTTTAGGCAATAACAAAATAGGCAATGCTAAATGGCATTGCTGGCACACGGAGGAGGTGGTCAGAATGTGGGAGGGGTCCCCAGCACAGAAATGTCCTGCTGAGCGACAGCTCCTGGGCACACAGGGCAGGAGCAAAGCCCTGGGGGCTGCAGGGTCTGGCAGGGACCAGGAGATCAGCTGGTGAAGCAGCACAGGCAGCAAGGCTTGGCCTGGTATGCAAGACCCCACTGTCCTTAATGCCCTTATCCAGCAGCTTGGGGAGAGCAAGAATTCTTATTTCTCCCCCTTTAGAGATGAGGTGTGGATGTGCAGCTGCTCTGGATCACGTTCAATGACACATTTAACATCCAACTGCATGTTTAGGTGCTTGAATACACATTTCAGTCAAGAAGGCACAGGCTGTCATGATGTGGGAGAGCATCAGCAACATGGCCAAGCACCTCCCTGAGATACAGTGTGGTCCATGAGCAACTGTCCACCTTGAAACAGCCAAAACTGAGACTGGAGGTCAACAGAAACAACTGTGGCCTCCAAAGAAGGGGAAAACAATCTTTCTCTTATAGTGTCTGTGCAGAGAACTGGCCTCCAAATGGAGAGGTGTGGGGTTCAGACCACAGAATTGACTCAAGGAAAGCAGGTTTTTAGGAATCACCAGGGATGACTTCTGGTCCCAAGGACAATCACCAGCCTCCAGTCACTGCTTCTAGCATTATCTGCAGACAGCACCAGGCAAAGTTACAGATTCAGTTTCTTTAGACAAGAGCAGACTGCATACTCATATGCTTGAGGAAAGGCTAACTATAAATATATAAACCCCAAGGAATTATCTAAGCAGCTAATAAAGATACAGAATCTTTATTTTATGAACTGCAGTTATACTCATTCAGTATGTGGCATCAAAAGAAATACAGATTTTCTGACAGATTTTTTATTTCCTGCTGTTACTAAAATGCATCCCCTTAAAGCAGCATCTCACAAAACTATAATTCTTCTCAATTTATCTCTGACTGAGCCTACAGTCAGCAACTGGAAGCCCCATCTTTGTACCATGCATGTCACAAATGAGATTTTCATTCTAAATGATCAGGTGTAGGGATCAGATTTTGAAATTACATACATTTTGTGTATAGCCTGCATTCCCTTTGCCTTTTTTTTTATCTGAACTTCCCATCCCATCTCCCACACACCCATATGCTTAAACTTGCATGGAGATGGTTTCTATTCTAAAAGAGGCATTCAGGGGAACAGAGCAGAGTGAGGCTGCTGAGATTATTTTTTACCTGAGCTCTGATTGCAGCGTCCTTCTTAATCCACTTTATCACTGTTTCATACACCAGCTCCTCTGCTTTGGTGTTCAGGCTGTCATTGGACATGTAAGAAATGAAGTCGTCTTTTGAGATATTAAGGATCTCTTCTTGGTTTGCCACCTCTGGGAAAATTTGCAGGGCATAAGCTTTGGCCATGTTGTATAGTTCAGTGCACTGCATGGCTTCAGCCATGGCTAATATTCCTAAGCAGTTGCTAGCAGTCAGCTGTTTCTCTAAAAAGGGCAAAAAAACAAACAAAAAAGGCAATTGAGAATTATTAAAAGCAAGATTCACGTTTGTTCCAAGATCATGAGAAAAATAAGTGCCATAGACAAACCTCAAACCCTAATTAATTTCAGGGAGTTAACTAGAAGCAGCACCCTGGGTTAATTTGGAATTGGGGTTTAAAGTACAAAAATCAAAGTCTGCCTAAAAAGTGAGCTGGAGATGGGGAGAGAAATGCACTTTCTGAGTTTGCTTTTTGTGTAAGCCTCCACAAAGCACTGGGGAAACCTACTGACATAACAGTATCTGGGGCTTCCCAAGGGATGGGAAGCCAGCCAAGAGACTGCTGCTGTTCCTACCGCCTACAATGTTGCTTTAAGGAACAGCAAAGATGTAAACGCCAGTGCAGACACTTAAGAATAAATGCAAACAGCACTAAGGACATTTCTGAGAATGCTGCAGTCATTTTATGATAATTTTTGCCCTGTTCAGCTACTAAGCTACTTCAAATAAAAAAAAAAAAATCCTCCCCCCTCTTTTTTTTTTTTTTCAAAGGAACTTTGTTGCTGCTGAATGTGATGACATCCCTTATGCAAAACACAGATTATACTAACGCCTTCTGTTAAACGTTGTGTAGTGGGTTTCAAAGAAAATCATGCACAGAGGAGACAGCATTATCTCCTTCCCAGCAAACAGAAGCAGCAGCACAGTGTGTAGCTTTGCGTTAGAAGTGTGCTACACCATACATTTGACTGTACTTTTTTTCCTTTCCAGCTATTTTGAAGAAAAAACTACCAATTTTAGACATTTATAAGAGGAACTCTCAGATTCTTCACAGCTTTTGTTAACCAAGCCACTACTAATAAGAAGGATATATTCTTTTAAGATACAGGACTAAAAATGAAAAAAGTAATAAGAGGAAGACTGCAGCAGATCACAAAGGCATCGGTACCAGTGGCAGGCTCCTGTGCTGTCAGAGAAGCCTATCACGTTTGGCAGTGTCATATCCTAGTGCACTATGACAGAGCACTGGACAGGAATGTGCAATAGCCCCGTATCTCTTCAAACAAAGCTCTCATCAGATTGCTTCTGCTGGAAATGCTCAGGGATTCTTCCCTACACCCAGCTTCTCCCTTCATCAGATTGAAAACCTGCACGCTATCTATATGTGGCTTTTAATAAAATGGGATTATGAACCTCCTTTTTCTATTTTTTTTTTTAACCTGACATGAGATTAGGAGTTTTCTGGGTTTGTTTTGCTTTCTTCCCCTCCTAACTCTTCTTATTTTCTTTTACAGATCCAGCAGTCTCAAAACTAGGTTATCTCATTTTGCATCAGTTGATTGTACTGACTCCAAGGAGCCCATTTCCTCAAGCTGACTGCAGTAGCGGCACTGTTTGCTGTCAGTAGATTTTGTCACTCAAAGACTGCCCAGAGACGGGTTGTAAACTGATAGCTATGAAGCCCAAAGCTACCATTTTTTTTTCTTTAAAAAAAGAGAAAAAAGAATAAGAAACAACAAAAAACCCCAAAACGAAAACCAAACCAAACCAAAATCCCAAACAACAACAACAACAACAAACCCACAAAAAAAACCCAGAAGACCAAAAACCTCTTCCAGGTTTCTTGCTTCTGTCTGCTGGCACAGTTTCATGGTGTACATATGGCTTGGGGTAAAGTAATCATCTAATGGAGCCCAAAACTCATATTTTCTTGGCAAATTCTCAAGTCAAAGGCCAATATGCCACTGTTCCACTTTATCTTCACAGGGTTAATAATGAAGGGAATAATCAATTTTGACTCATTAAGCAGCACATGATAGTAAAGACTTTCAAGAGTCTTTCTCTTCAGAGGACTGGGTTTGTCTCTATCAGGAGAGATCCCCATATTGTTTCCAGCTGAGCCTGTGGTGTGGGACAGAAAAAAACACTGTTCACAACTGATTTATTCTGATCTGTACAGGTTTCTCCAGCTCTAACAACACTGGGTGACTGATGCAACCTGGTACACTGATGCAAGCAGGTCCATGCTGGCCCTTGGAGCTTTACTCTCTCCTCTTCCCTGAGAAACCCTCAGTGGCAGATTCCAATGATGTCCCTGTCTGATTCAGGAACTATTGTGGAGAGGGGTCCCAGGGAGCTGTGGAATTAGGGGATGTGCTGGAGGCTGGTGACAACACTTCTCTGCACTTCACTTCTATGTGATGTGCACCACAGCAAGGTGAGCACAGCAACATCTGTTTAAGATAGGCACTGGCACGTGAACTAGAGAGATTCACTGCCGGAGAGCAGGACAGACCTTGGGACAGCAGCTGTAGGAGATATGGAAAATCTCTATCCTATGAACATGAAGACATCACCTCATCCCCCCATTTTTCAGCTCTGACTCAAAATTTGGCAGCAAGACTGGTTGTCTCTCGAATTCAGCTGTCTGTGGTGCAACTCTGCATTCACATTAATATCCTTGCACACCCATAAACAAGCAATTCCAAGCAGAAATCTGGTAATATTCTGGATCACCCTGGTATTATTTTGGATGACAACTCCAGAATAAGCAGAACTCTGCCTTATCAATGCCTGTTACTCTTCAATGACTATAACAGGAGCCTACATGACCACTTAGACATAGACTTCAGCTATATAATATAGCTCATCCCAAATGACTACAATCCAGGGGTACTTGTCAATGCTGGAATGACAAGGACAGCTAAGGACCAGTTCTGCTCTGTCTGCTCCCGAGTTGTGTTCCTTTGGACACTGGCATGTTTACAATAATTGTTTTGCCACAGTGACACTGGGCTTGTAACAACACATTTTTGTGAAGTTTCACCTTGTCTCTGTTCAGAACACAAGGCTGGCTGCTAAATTATTCCCAGTCCTCAAGGACAGTTTATAACAGACTCGTGAGTGGACTTTAGGAATATCAAATGTAATCTTGTAGGTTCTCACTGGTTTGAGACAGTGCTGGACAGCATATTTGTTGCTATGTGTGTCACAATAATGCAGATCAGCATCTGGTATTTTCCACTGTGTAAGATGTGACTTTGGAGTGGGATCCTGTGCAGCATCATCAGGAGACAATCAGCCAGGCAGACTGCTCCAACTGCACTTCTGAGAGTGGGGACACTTGAGATAACACCAGAGAGAAATGGTATGCAGGAAGGATTACTCAGTGAGATTGTGGTAACAGCACGATGGAAGCTCACTTGTAAATCCTCTCTTACGTGCATTAAGCACCGTATTTTCAGAGATGCTTTCTAAACTATGGTTTGGATATCACCAAAACCACCACAAAATACATATTCCTTGTGATACTCTGTGTACATTCCGATGGGAAACTTACTCCTCGGGTATTGCTACTAGTGTCAAAAAGCATGTGAAGATGGGAGATAGGTGGAAGACTTTCAGATGCATTCATTGTCTAATGAATTGTCCAAAAGATTTCCCTTCCCCATGAGAGTCTTCCTCCTTTCTCCTGTCTCCAGATATAGTTGAAGTTTTATACATAGTTTATATGAAATGTATATATTATAGTTTCTCCAGGGCTAGGCAATGAAGTTCTCCAGCTGGATCAAAATTCTCCACCTTGAATGAACAAATAAATTGACCATAATATTTCCTCTTAAATTCCTAAGGATGATAAAGGCCTCTTCTTTCCTCAGGTGCCTGAGGAATGCAGGTCTCATCACTGGTCCATCATTCAGCTTTTCTCATTGCTCCCTCTAATACTCTTTCCAAACATTGATTTTGTGCTCTTTGCACAGGAGACTAAGAAAATTCAGAGCTCCTGCTATTTTCTGTTCTGGTCCATGCAACTACCAGGTTCCACCAACTTCTTTAGGCTTAAGGATGAGTACTTTTAATTTATCAGAAGCAGACTGAAGTACAAGCTCAGAACGTGTTCCCTCCTGTGATGGGTGTCCATGCATCATGGACTGAAACTGTGATACTGGTGAATACCTGAAACCAATTTAAGCCATGACTGTGATGACAGTGTAAAACAAATACCAAAAAAGAAAAACAAAAACCCCAAAAGGCTGAAGTCTTCAGCCAAATGGGTGCAGGAAATACCTATAATATCCTAACCAGTTTGCAAACATTTGCCCAGTTATCATATGGTGCCTGCATGAACTTGTCACTATTATTGCATCAGCACAAAACTGTTCTCATTTCTCCCGGTCTAGACAAAAGCTGAGGAGACAGCGTGTGGGGAAGAGAGAGAACATGGCTATAATTATCCCAGAGAAGCTGGTTAAGAAATCTCCCATTGAAATGAAACTACTTTCCTGACACATTTTGCCAGATCTTTTCACCAAAAAGTGCAAGAAAATCTGCAGTGCCTCTGCCCAAGGCTGCTGAGAGGTCCAGGATAGAGACACAAAAGCTGCTTGGGCATCACCAAGCCAGGATCCTCCTGGATCGTCATGGATGAAATAGGATGAGCTGAACTTCCTCTGTTTTGCTTCCTTCTGATTGTGCTGTGCTATGCTGAACAGACTTAATAATTTGGGGCTTTTACATCTTTAAACTTCCCTTCTCTCCCTATTTAGACATGGCCACTGATGGGAAAGATTCAGTGTTTATACTGGTCAATCCTCCAGAAACCCTGCAGTGAAAAAAAACCCTGATTTTTACCACACTTTTACTTTGAATAGAGCAGAGGTGGCTGAGGTGAAAAATAAAAACACAGCCACAGAGAAGACAAAATGCTTTTCCCTAAACTTTTCAGATGGCAAATGCTCTGCTGTCTCTGTAGTGCAATCGAGTCACAGCTATAAATAAAAATAAGCAATTACACTCAGTGAATTCTCCAAATGAGAATACAAAGTTCCAGTGACTCTCCATATATCACTGAACTTATAACCAACTCTACTATTTCACACCATAACATGGTTCACTGAATTAAAATATTAACTATCAGAAAAGAGAACTCTCACAGTGATTCAGTGAAATAAATGTATTTTGGTTTTGTGGCTGAATCTTCAGTGATATCACGACTCTAACATATCCTGTGTTTCTGGAAAGACTGTAAAATCTAATCACTATAAAAAGCTGGTGAAGAGAAGCTGGGAGCAAGCAATGCCAGAACCAGAGCCTCATTCAAATTGCACAGTTTACATGGTGGGATTCCAAAGCATAAATTTAATATCAACAGCACCCCCCATTTGAGAACAGACTTTGAAATAAGGGGCATATAAAAAGTTGGAAAGGGGAATACAATGCCAGAGATTTTTATGGATGCCTGCATTGTACCAGCCCAGTCACACCACTCATCTGGCCAGCAGGCTGGCTTAGCAGTGAAAATTAACACAGCAGTAAACTGGACTCATTAGAGGGTTTTTTTGTTGTTCTTGTTTTTTGAGTGCAACATTTTCTAAACTCTCATCTGCCACATTCTGCAGAAGTAGATGTAAATTTTAAATGAGAACTGCCCAGGGAAAACCTACAATTTATTTGGGCTTCACAGAGAACGATTCCTCCCACACCAAGATGGGAGTTGAGGAAGCTCAAGCAGAAATCAGATGCCAAAAAAAAAAAGGTTATCTGGTACTTATACCTGGGAAGCACATCATATAACATGAAGATCAATTTTTTGGTATTAATAAATTTCTGTTAATTTTTAAATTATTACTGTCTTATAAACTGATATTACAGCTATGACAGTGAAGGAGTGGCTTGTGCAATTCGAACCACTGTGTTTCAGTTGAGCTGCAGTTGTGGCTTCTCTTCTGCCATGCCAGGCAGGTCTGTCTGGCTCTTGTTCAGGCCAGTACAGCTTAGTTGAGCTGGAAATCTTGGACTGCTTTGAAATACTTTCTGCTGGAAACCAGAGGGAAAGTGAAAGGAGCAGGATGACATGGTGCTCCTGGCAAGAAAAATGGGTTTCTCGTGGTTATGAGGATGGACTGAGGCACTGGCAAAGATGTTGCTCTGTAGATCCTCACTGAGACAAATGCTCCCTGTGCACACAGGGCACACCAGTTACCAGGCATGGGCACAGCAACCTTCCCTTCTACCCACCTTTGTGCTGATATCAGGCCACAGCTCTGCATGCAGCAACAAACCCCAGGAACATTAAATCTAGAACACTGGACATGTAAAGAAGGACTTTCTCACAAACGCAAGAAAATTGCAGGTATTGCAATGCAGCCTTTAATTTTTTGCAGATTTGCAGGACTTCTTCCTCCACTGGAGCCCTCTTCCACACTCTTTTGGTATTTGACCAAGCTGGCCTGGTGTAGAACCCAAAATATGCTGTCAGTTATAAACAACCTGTGTGCTACACCCTGGTATCTATGCAGAGATCATCCTCTGGGAAACAAAATGTCATCAAGATTCCAAGTATGGAACAAGATTCAACAAAATAGGTTATACAAGATGTGAAAGCTGCTGCCACTCAAGCAACAAGCTTCACTTTTCGAGACCATTTTCCACTTGCCATCGTGCCAGCATTGGGAATTCAAATCACAAACCAAATTAATGATGCTTTATTTTACTCTATTTCATCATGAGTTTCTTCACTATCTTTTAAGAGTTGTTCAAAGACAGATTTATAAACCTTAACACAAGATCTTAAAACCTCACTAGATGCAATGATACTTACCTAGAAATGAAACGCAGACTTTACAGAAAGTATGAAACTGGAACTTGCTGGCAGCTTCCAGTAGTGTTTTTGCATTGGCTGAATCTATGATTAAAGAACCTGTATAAACAAACTCCAGGAGTAACTCCAGGACATCCGCAGTGAGGTTGGACATGGCCAGTTCCAGCTTCTCCCCGCTTCTGCTGCTGTCTCGTGGTGACCTGGTAACAGCAGACAATTAAATTATGGACCTTACACCATCCCCATTTTATTGGCATTTATTGATTAGTGAGGGCTAGAAAATCGCTTTGCACCTCATTATATTTCTCCATTATTTTTGTTTACGGAACTGAAGAATATGGATTTTAAAATAACTGAACTTATAAACTTTAACTGGATCTGAAAGAGAAGAGTCTTAAAGCAAGTCTTACGAAAAATCTGTTTATTGCTACTTTGCATTTTCATGCAAAAACAGTTGCAAAAGAAAAGGAAAGGAAAATAAAGGAAAAAAAAGAAAAAGGAAAATGAATGATCCAACATTAATGAAAATGAGGAACAGGATTAGCTTTCAAAGGGAAACAATACATTTTAACATCTTGGTTAACATCTCATCTTCTGTGTATAATATAACTGTTAAGGAAAAAACACTCTCCAATTTCAAGAGAAAAGGTCATCTACTTTTTCAAGAATCCAGCACTAGAATAATTTTAGATGTTATGTGCACTTAAGGATACATTTAAAGACCTTTTCATAAAAAATAGTAACAAAAATTAATAATTTCTATTTAGCTTGAACTTCTCAGTATGTTATATTAAATGATAGATATGATCAATATGATATCTATGGTATACAGATGGCTATATAAAATACAATTTATGCTTATTCTAAAAAAATCTATTGTTCCCTTTTAGGCACTAAAAAAAGGAAGCCCCTCATGGCAATTGCTTTGAAAACTGAATACAAGACAAGCTAGACAGACAAAATGGTTAGAGCAAAGAAGGGAGAGGGGGGGGAAAACAACAACCAGCTCTGCCACAGGAAGCCAGCAGCCATCCTCTAGGAGTTTCATGACTGTGGCCTATGGTTTTTCCTGCATGAAGTGCTGAACAATTTGGGGATCAAAGTATCTCCTGCATTTGAAGTGTGCATTAGTGCTTGTGAAATTATTGGACAAAAAGAAAGTCATACTGAATTAAAGTAAGGGCCCAGTTCTTAATGCATGGCTGATGTGTCTGCAACACTAAAGACAGGTTACACCTGAAAGACAAAAGTGATGATAAATTTGATAACATCAAGGAGGGGAGGGGAAATCTGTTGGAGTAAGAAAATAAACTCTTTTAATGGTTAGGACCATCCAGCACCTTCTCAAAGAAACACGAGCTTTTTGTTTGTCACTGGACAGTCAACGTCTGCTCGCTCCAGTTCTGCTCGAGTACTTGCAAAAGCCATGGCACGAGTGACACAAAACCGGCACACGATGCAGCGCGACAGATACGGACTGGCCACAGCACCACTAGTCACAGGCAACGCCAGCTTGAAGCGTGAGCAAAAGCTACCAGAGCACTACCAACCTCTTGGGCTTACACAGCTGCCTAAAAAGGCAATGGTCAGACCTCCACTACCATCACGGAAGAAAAATAAACATACGAGGTTCAGTTTTTTTTTCCCGCATGACACCCCAACCATCCGTCCCAACAACACACCTAAAATCATTTGGAGAAATGCTTAAAATTCGCAGTGGATGCTTTGTCTCTTCATTGACCAGGCCTGGTCAACTCAAGGGCACAGTTTTAATTCATATGAATCTCTGCAGGATCAAAGCTTTAAAGAGGTTTCATTTTCAATGGAGGAGCAGCTAGCAGTTCCTAATTTCATAGTATTCTCTAAGGTAGTGAACAATGGTTACTCCCATTCACAGGAGGAAACTGAAGCACAAGATGACAAAATCACTTGCCTATGATCACAGTGAGTCAGGAGCAAACCAAGGAATTAAACCCCATTTTAAAAATTCTAAGTACTGAACTGTCCCTTTACTTGGCAACACAGGTGAGTTAGACCCTATTCCACAAGCAGATGCTAAGAACACATACTGACCATGACACCTGTTGTACCCCTACAACCACAGAGGTCTGTGCTACCCTAAATCCTTATGCTTTGTCACACGACAGTATTCTTTCTGAAGTCTTGCATATGGATTCAGTTCTGCATCTGAGGCAGAAATCCTCTGGTGGCAAAACAGAAGAGTTGCCATTTCCTAGATCCTCAAAAGGATGTCACAAAATGTTGGGGTTTTTCCTTTCTCACACTCACACCCCAATAATATGCCCCATATCTAATTTATCTCCAGGTGTACATACATCTGGTGCTGCACTCTGGGCTGTGAAAATACCTCTTGGTACCAGTGTAATTCTTGCTGAACTGCTCCCAGAAGTGGTTTGTACCTGACAGTGAGCTCGTTTTCACATGGGCTGGTTAATAAACACACCATCTGAAATTTCAGGGAGGTTTGGAGGTACCCAGCAAGTGACAGAGACGGGTTTTTTGCACTGTGGGGAGCCCTACCATAAGCAATTATTTATTTAATGCCACTAATTGCACTGTGCTGGCAATGGCTGTGGGAAAGACCGCGCGTGATCCACTGGGAATCGCACAAGTGCACCCAGCATGGAGACCAGGAGGCACAAAGGAAAGGATGATGTGACACCAATGTCAGTGCAGACACATACCCATGCTAGCAACAACTGCAAGCTGCTATTTTTCACAATAATTAAGTAATAATCTCTTTTACTTTGTAATACACCGAGCAATAAACTGCTGCTGCAATTGATTAAATGCCAAAGAAAAGCTAAGGTGTTTAATCAATCACTAGAGCCACTTACAGCAAGTATAATACAAAGCTACAGAGATTATTGATATTACACAATGAGCCAGAAATGGGAAAGAAAATTATCCCTATTCCTGCCTCTGCAATGCCTTGAATGTGTTGTGCTGTTTTCCTGTGCTTTCTAAGCAGTGAGCCTTTTGGCTCCATGTTTGGCTGGATCAAATACTGAGTACAGGCAGGATTCAGCCTGCACAGGGAAATCACAGCTATCCCCGGGTTCCATGCCAGGGATCTGGCTTGGTATAGGCTGGAGAATGGGCAGGGAATTGGCTGAAGCAGGTCGTAATGGAATAAACAAATGTCTGAAGGACGAGAAGAACATAATGTCAGGAAACAGACTGATGTAACTGAAAAGGGAAATTCCACAGACTTCTTCATGAAATTATTTCAATGAATCAGGTTATAGCATCCCCCTCAAAGCCTGACTAAAGATTTCTGTGTTCCTTGTTTTCACACATATTAGAATATCATATGCCCTGTGCAGTTATAATTCATCTAATTCTCTTGGCTCCTCTAGAGGAACTGCAATGAAGTGGCTAAAGCTGTATTACAAGAATAGAATTTAGTCCTGTAAATGCAAATGCAGTGGATTTGGGAAAATCTGTAGCAATATATAGAGCTGTTCCCCAAATAGCTCATCCAACAGGAGGAGTTTTATTGGTGACATCAATAAATGCAAACATTTAGAGAAGTCTGTTACCAGAAAAGCCTCGACTTCCTGCCTTAAGAGCTGGGAAAAGTTATAGTTCTACCTGGTACACACACTCCTGTACCCCAACTCCTGGCACAAACATGAAGTGTTTTGGGGATTGAAAGCCTGCCTCCTTCACGTTTCAGTCTCACTTGAAGCCAATCAACACACCCTTATCGTCCATGGACATCATTAAACGTGGCACATTCTGCTATTTGCCCGGCGAACTCTAAAGTTTAAACAGAATGATGTCATTTTATTGGCCTTGTAATCATTGCTCATATTATAAAGGTCACACATTTCACATTGTGGCAGAAAATCAATAGCTCTCCCAACAGCCTCTGGGGGAAAAAGTTTTGCTTCTGAAGAATAATATATAATAAACAATTTTAGTCCTTACTTTATCATGGCTATAATCTTGGAGAAAAGCTACAGTAAAAATCTGGCAAAGGCTGATATATAAACTCATTAAAATTGGGAAGTGATTTAGAACAGGACTTTTAAAAAGATTTATCTTTAGCTAAACAGCAAAGAGATTTGTTTAGGTCTACATTTAAACAAGCTCCAAGAGCTCTTTAACAGCTTAATTTTATGGTAGCTGTTGGGGAATTCTTTCAGATTTACAAATCATGTATTTCTCCAGCAAGGTGATAGACCTGAGCAATGTGCAAGCAGAACTGAACCTGCAGATAAGCAGGAAATACAGATATATTCTGAATGGGTAAGGGGGGAGTTACTGAAAAATATTTTGCATTGTCTGGAATAATTAAGTCCAACAAAATCAAGCGAATGCCTTTGAACAGTCTGGCTACTTACTCTTCAACTTAATTGCTTCAACTAGAGAAGACAAAGGCACAGGGAACCTTTTCAAGCAAAAGATGGCTCGATTACACTCTCAAATAACAAATCAGAATCAGTGTCCCTTTCTGTTAACTAATATATAGGAAGGAGCAAAAATGTTTGAATACTTGATAGCAAGAAAAATAACCCTAACACCTCATCTGCAGGATCTAGAAGTGGAACTGACAAAAGAAAAATTAGAGAAATTTACATTTTTTGGTATTTATTTGTCTTTGAAAAGAATTTCCAAACATGTAATACACACAGACAAGAATCAGCCATAGTGCTTTCATATTTAATAGTGATGCAACTGAAGTTTTCTGCATCTTGAGTTATAAATAGATGTGTATCTATGCATTTTTCCTGCATTATTTGTATCAACACATTCCCATAACAGAATGCCTGTGTGATTCTGTTCAAAACATTTAATAGTGAGATGCCTTGATTTGCGAAGCCACATTTAGAGTCTGGCTAAAGTAGCCGTGTAAGTGAAACACCGCGAGCGCATCAATTCGTCAATTTATGGACAACGCTACTGCCTCTCATTCAGCCTTCCCTCATGGTTTAGATGTGCTGCCTTTAACTGGCTTGCAACATTATTTTGACTGACTAATGGTTTGGCTACAGCTTCACTCAATTTTAGATCAAATACGAAAAGCTACCTATACCCGGTGCAGATGCCAGCCAACGCTCTGTTTACAAGCTACAGTCACAAAGTCAAAACAAATTCTGGATGTTCAAAATGGAGCCATCTGCACGGAATAAACATGAAAAATGTGAAACATTTTATGTAAATGTACATTAGT